AATGTCATAATACAACATGTGTACTACTGTTTCATGAGAAACTATTTGTTCTGTAAGCCTTCACCTGAAGTACAATAAAATATAAAAAAAAAAAGAAAAAAAGAGAAATTCCTGAGAAGTATAAGCCAAAGAATTCTCAAAGTTTACACAGGGTCAAGAACTGCTAACATTCCCACCTGGCAGAATAAAGAGACTATGATGTCTACACAAAGGATTCACCAGAGAACCCAGAAAGGTCACAACATAGTAGGAGATCTAATCTAGTGTTAGAGCAAAGAGTACTCTAGATCTGCTCCCCAAAAACTTACAAACAAGGTTTGAAATGATCAAACTGATTCACAAGAACAGAGAACAAAGTCCACACTCTTTAAAGGAATATAAAAAATCCAGCATTCAACAACAAAATTCACAATGTCTAGCATCCAATAAAAATAATTACACATGTAGAAAATGTAGATCACATGAGGAGAAAAATCAGTCAACAGAAATAGGCCCAGAAATGAGAGATGTAAGAATTGGAAGACTAAGAATATTGAAAATGCTAGTTTAAATTGTTTAAGGACTTAAAGGAAAATATTAACATAAGAAAGTAGAGCTGCATTTTTTAAAAAAGCCAAATAAAAGTTCTAGAGGTAAAAATACAGGATCTGAAATAAAAATTACACTAGATGGGATTAACAGCAGATTACACACTGAAGAAGGAAAAAACAATCTAACTTAAAGACTGAGAAACAAAAAACTATCCCAAATTAAGCAGACATGGAAGAGACTGAAAAATTAACATGCAACTGGAGTTCTAGTATAAAAGGGGGTGGGGGCCAAAAAGTATTTGAAGAGTCCAAAAATTTACCAAATTTGACAAAAATTATATACCTACAATATCAATAAACTCAACGAGTAGACTAATCATGACAAAAACTATGATGCAAAAGCACTTAATAAAGTGCTGAAAACAGGCAATAAAGTGAATATATTAAAACAGAAAAAAAGGCATCTTATGTAAAAGGAAACAAAGTTAAGAACTATTACAGACTTCTCATTAGAAATTCCTCAAACCAGAATACAATGGAATGACATCTTTAAAGGACTGAAAGACAAAAATATCAACCTAGAATTCTATATTCAACAAGCATACCTTTTAAAAATGAAGGCAACAGTAAGACTTTTTTTGCAGAGAAAAAAAAAAAAAGCTGAGAATATTCATTGCCAGCAAACGTGCACTTCTAGAAATGTTAAAGAAAGTTCTTCAGGTAGAAGGAAACCGATGCCAGATGGAAATCTTATCAACAGAAAGGAATGAAGAGCTCAGACAATGTCACATATGTGGATAAATTATATAAAAGACTTTTTTTTCCCATTTTTAATCTTTTGAAAAGGGTACTGATTGCTTAAATTTAAAAATGTATCATGAAGGTTATAAAACATGTGGAAGTAAAATTGAGACCAACAACAGTACAAATAACAGGCAGCAAAAAAAGAGGAATTCCACTGTAAGTTATTACATTATATACATGCAGTGATATATTTTTAAGGTAGACTGGGATAAGCTATAAAGATGCCTATAGTATCTCCCTAAAACAACCACTAAAAAATAAAACAAAGAGGAGGTAATAAGCCAGCAAATAGTATTCTGTTATACAAAATAATTTAATTATAAAATACAAAATATTTTCAATCCAAAAGAAGGCAGGAAAAAAGGAAGAGAGAGGAGACAAAAGAAAACAAATTGCAAGATAGTTGATTTAAGCCTAATCACACTGACTAGATATGCCTAAACATTCTAGTAAGAGATAGACTGTCACACTGAATAAGAAAGCAAGACCCAACTAGTAGATGTCTACATAAAACACTTCCAATATAAAGATACAGATTAATAGAAAAAGATATACAAACAATAATCATAACAAAGCTAGAGCAACTATATTAATATCAGACAAACTAGACTTCAGAAAAAGGAAAATTACCAGGGATAAAGAAGCATTTCATAATGGATTCACTTATCAAGAAGAGGTAAAAGATCTGGTGTGTATAAACCTAATACCAGAGACTCAAAATACACAAAGCAAAAATCAACAGAATTGAAGGCGAAATCGATAAATCCACAATCCTCTGTAGAGATTTAAGGACATCCCTTTCCATAATTCATAGAATAGAAAATCAATAAGGATATAAAAGATCTAAGCAAGTGCTTCTCCCACTCACTCTGCATACCTTTATTCTCCGGTTGTCACCAACATCCTCTTTAATTCGGCTTAACCAAGATTCATTGAACCAAGCGACATCACTAAAACAAAAATACAAATGCTAAACATTAAAACATTTTTATTCTAAAAAAAAATTTAATACCTAGTGAATAAACAACGTTACTTTACACCTTAAAGTCTGTCCTTAAATTAATAATAAGTAAATATTATTTAAATGAATCTACTGAGTTTTTTGTGATTTTTAAAGATTTCTTTGTAATTTCTCATATTAAATTACTTGTCATTAACATCTTCAGTTCAACACATTTACTAAACTTATCTCATGCTACATACTCTGCTAGCCTGAAGATGTAAAAGTTCCAATCCTGAAGGAAAAATAAAAAAGAAAACCAACATCTTAGTGTCTACGATCTATCAAGCACTGTGCTTGACATTTCTCCAGAATATTTAAATCTCATAGTAACTTGGCAAAGGACCTACCATTATCCTCAATCTTACTCTTCAGGGAACTGAGAATGAAAGAGGTTAAGTAATTTGCCCCAAGTGACACTAAAAAACAAAAAACAAAAAACAAAAAACAAACCTGTTGCCATTGAGTCAATTCCTACTCATAGCGACCCTACAGGACAAAGCAGAAACTACCCCATAGGGTTTCCAAGGAGCGGCTGGTAGATTCAAACTGCCAAACTTTTGGTTAGCAGGTGAGCTCTTAACGACTGCACCACCAGGGCTCCCAAGTGACACTACTACATGGCAAAGCCCAAAATAAATCTTTTTGATTGTAACTGAATAGAATGAGTTTAACTGAGAAATCTACAAGTTTAGCTTTAATTAGAAATAAACTCCTATATTATTATTGAAAGCCAAGACAAAGAATTGCTATGTCAGATTTTTGTAAAATTAATAAGTTTTTGAAAAACATTAAGTTTTGAAACATTATTTGATTATACAGAGTGGACCCAAGCCATGGTATTTTCAATCAACTTATATGCATGTGAAAGCTGGACAATGAATAAGGAAGACCGAAGAAGAACTGATGCCTTTGAAATGTGGTGTTGGCGAAAAATACTGAATATACCATGGACTGCCAAAAGAATGAACAAATCTGTCTTGGAAGAAGTACAGCCAGAATGCTACTTGGAAGCAGGGATGGTGAGACTTCATGTCACATACTTTGGGCATGTTATCAGGAGGGACCAGTCCCTGGAGAAGGACATCATGCTCGGGAAAGTAGAGGGTCAGTGAAAAAGAGCAAGACCCTCAACAAGATGGACTGACACAGTGGCTGCAACAATAGGCTCAAACATAGCAATTACTGTGAGGATGGTGCAGGACCAGGCAGTGTTTCAATGTGTTGTACATAGGGTCTCTATGAGTCACAACTGACTCGACGGCACCTAACAACAACATATTAATAAAACCATATTCTTTAAACAAACATTTGGATTTTTGTTCTCAGTAAAGAATTAAGAAAGAGTGATACAAAGGTGAATAATTTACTATAAAAGGGGAAAAGTCCAGAGCACAAATAAATACACTCAAAGGAGAATGTGATAAATGTTCTAAGGGTTAAACAAGTAACCGCAAAATCACAGGATATTAGGGCTTTGAAGAGGTCTGAAAGGTCTCACCGAAATTCTTATTTTACAGATAAGCCAATTAAAGTGAGGAAAAAAATTTAAAGGGATTATTTTCTAAAGTTGTATCTTAAATTTAAAAATGCAAAGCTGAAATTAAGACACGGTGCCTAGTCTCAAGAGCTTTTCAGAAATCATTCGGCCTGAGATGTCCTAACATGGAAGACAGTACTTCCGTTTGAAGGAACCAAAAAGGCTTAACCATGTTCAACTCATCTACTTGAAATTTGTGACTACTTTCTTTTGAGCAAATTAATGTTAATTTTGCTCAACTTTTCTCAGATGCTAAGAGTGAAAATTACAAAAACAACTTAACTAAATGTATAAATGATGCACTGCTAACCAGGTATTTACCTGAAATGACTGAATTAGTTTACTGACTGAGTAAAAACTGTCAAAGTAAATTTACTTTCTGTTTATATCACAATAAATAATAAATAATAAATAATAAACAATAAATAATAAAAAGTCTAAGACAAAAGAGGTATGCCTTCTAATGGACACTAAAATGTGGAAGTATATGATTCTTCTAAGCTGTAATTATGTCTAGAAAATGAATCTACAGATAACCTAGTTTCTCCAAGATAATTCATCCTTTTGTCTTCAATTCCTCCTTGTCTTCCTTTCCATTCCAAATCAACTTTAGCCCTGACAAATACATCCTAAGACTTCTCCATGAAAATATAATTCTTGCTTTCTTTCTTATAAATTCACTTTCCCTCAACAATTACAATGGCAGCCAATATATCCCACTATCAAACTTGATATCCAACCTCAGAATTCTTTAGACATATTATTTTCCTTTTTGCACTGCCATATCTACACACCTTAACTAGACTCTTAACTGGCAACAATTAATTCTTTTTGCTTATATTTCCCAAAACCTTAATGAAACTCAAGGGACATCAAATAAGAATGAGACATGGAACTAACGAAGCAAAATACGGTCCATTTATTTTCTAATAAAGCTAAGTAAGAATCACTGCATGATTATTTTTTTAATTCCACCTATGGCATTTGTCTTCCACCATTTCACCAACTAAATTCAGATAGTAACTAATACCTAAAGGTTACTGTAAAGAACCCTGGTGGCACTGTGGTTAAGCACTCAGCTACAAACTGAAAGATTGGTGGTTCCAACCCACCAGTCACTCCACAGGAGAAAGATGTGGCAGTCTGCTTCCGTAAAGATTTATAGCCTTGGAAACCCTACAGGGGCAGTTCTAATCTGTCCTATACGGTCACTATGAGTCGAAATCATCTTGACAGCATTGAGTTTGTTTTTTTTGGTTTTGGTTACTATGGGGTCTTTATTAGTCAAAATCAGCTTGACAGCAATGGGTCTGGGTTTTGGGGGTTACTATAATCAGAGCTGTGTTGCTTGAATGGGCACCCTGAGACTATATTTCTTGAATAATCCAAAGGCCTTCTGTGCTCAACACAAACTGTGATCTGTACTTTGGATATGTACATCTGGCCTCTCAATTTTAAATAACCCAAAATGATAACCTATCTGGAGAGGTTCAAGACACTAGATTTCAATCACTACAGATGATTAAGAACACTGATTTCAGAGTCAGGCTAAACTGGGTTCAATTCCTCGCTTTGCTATTTACTCATTATTTGACTTCCCAAAAGCCATTTCACCTCTCGAACCCTCAGTTTCTTCATCTATAAATTCAGGATAAAAATATTATCTACCCCAAAGAGGAGTAAAAGCTAAACGAAGTAACATGTACGGGACACACAACAATGTCTTGTACTTAGTAAGTGCTCAAACGTTGGCTATTTATTATTTAAAACGGCCAAATACCTGCTGAATAAACACACGAATGAACAAATAAATGCATGATGCACAGGGTGTCTCTTAATATTCTACATTTTCTGTGTCTTCTACTTCTTGTGAAAACATCTAGTAAGAATAACATAAATACGGCTTCTGGGAAAAATGGCACTCGAGGCAGAAGCACCACGCCATCCCTCCACAGCAAAGATCTGAAAAACTAAGCCGAACAGAGAATACGACAATCCTGAAACCCTAAAACATCAAATGAAGAGATAAAGAACTCAGCCAAGCACCAAATGGAGTGAGAAAACTGACAGAGAACAGAGAGTGGGGAGAGATTCATGCAGAGGTCCCCTACCAGCTAACACAGTGCGGATCCCCCATCTTGGACTCCTATCGGAGACCAGTAAACAGGGGTACGAGAAAGCAGCCTCACGGAGCGTCCAGCGGGAGACAAAACAAACGAGATGAAACAAACAAATCCACAATCAATAAACGACAAAAATAACTACTGAATGCCCCAAAAACAGCAGACAATATCAAAACATTTACAAAAACAGGACAAGATGGTTCCAGTAGGCGTCCAAAATATAACACCAGATGACTCTCTTGTGGAAGAAAATGCACTACAACTACCTGATAGGGAATTCAAATCTCTAAAACTTGGAATTCTCCAAAAACTGAGGCAAAAAGCTGACAAACATGAGGAAAAAATAGACAAATTCATGGAAAATACAGACAAAAAATCGGAAGAATTCAGGAAGATGATGGAGGAACAAAATACAAAAATAAATTCACAACTAGAAATTATAGAAAGACAACAATTAGAAATCCAAAAGATAAACAACAAGATTTCAGAAATGGATGATGCCACAGAAGGGCTGAGAAGCAGATTTGAAACGGTGGAAGACAGGATCAGTGGAATTGAAGACACACACTTGGATACAACTCTGTTTCAGGAAACGTCAGGAAAAAGAACAAAGAAAAATGAAGAGACCCTCAGAGTTATGTGGGACACAATTAAAAGCAAAAATTTATGAGTGATTGCCATTCCAGAACAAGGGGAGAAAACACAAAACACAGAGAGGATCATTGAGGAACTGCTGACAGAAAACATCCCCAATATCATGAAAGATGAAACGCTGGCCATGCCAGAAGTTCAATGAACCCCATATAGGAGAGACCCCAAAAGAAAATCACCAAGGCATATCATAAACACGCTCGCCAAAACCAAAGACAAACAAAGAATCCTGACAGCAGCTCGTGAAAAACAAGAAGTCTCATACAGAGGAGAAACAATAAGACTAAGCTCAGATTATTCGGCAGAAACCATGCAGGCAAGAAGGCAATGGGATGACATATATAAAATCTTGAAAG